AGTTAACTGAGCAAATGACTGGAGCAGAAAGTGACAGTTGCCTCCTAAGTTCTCAATTGCTGCTTCGTATGCACAATGTTTAGACAGCTCAGTAAAATGTTTGAACCTTTTCATGAAACACTACCACCACGCCCTCCATATACACACTACTAGCATGCATTTGTGTTTAATGAAGTCAGTTGTACTTTTATAACACTCGTCATTATGCCTAAGTTGAAGACTTCGATTTAATTTTATATCCGTATTTCGTTCTTTTAGTGACATGTTTAGGCACATTAATTTATTTTTAAAATGATTTTAATTTCATATTCGTATTTGTGTTACAAATTATGAAAAAAAAGGATATTAATTTTCTACATTTCATCGTGTACTGGCACCTAAATCTGTTATGTATTCGTATTTGGTCCATTTTTTTAGACAATAACCTTAGTTTTCAAAAACTTATAATATGCTCTATAAACAGTAATTTATTGACCAACTTCTCAAGAAGGACATTTCCTTGGATTTAGGACCTGTCTAATGTAAGTGTTCTCGAAATTCAGCGTGATAAATGAAAGAACGCAATGAAAGTAATGGGAAAAGGCAGGTGGAAGTTAATGATTGCGTGCATTTTGGTACAGTTTCGATATAACTAAGCCTGTAATTGAAGTATCGTGGAATAAAATTGAACGAGTTTTTACTCCTAGAGTTTGCAGATATGACAATCTTGACCTGCTTCGAATTAAGGTGTATTTTTCATCGCGAACTGAGCCTGCTGGAAATGACTAAGTGCATACTTGCAGGGAAAATGGGCTACAGATTAGTGACAATGGAATCAGTACACGACTCAGCTGAATTTTGTGATATCTCGTGCCACACGATGCCAGTGTGTGTGTGTGATTTTTACGTCAACGTAGAAAATGTAGACGCTTCAAAACATTAATACAAACCTGACATTCTTGAAAACTGTCTTTATTTTCCAGGTTTTATTTTGTAAGCATTTGGACGTAATATGGAACAAGGATGATTACTTTTGCATGAACTTCGAATACAGTCCGGTATACTTCATTCTAAATATGTTCCTTACGAATCTACTTACGCCACTGACCTTCAAATACATATTATTGCCGTTGCACGACAATTAAAATGTATTTCTTCTTCATCATACCATCAAACATGTAATCTCACTAACTGAAATGTTGGCCGCGCCATAGCTCAAGGGGTTAGTAGCTGGCTTCCCACCGCGGCGGCCCGGGTTCGATCCCAGGTCTGGTCAAGTGGGATTTGTGGTGAACAATGTGGCGCTGGGGCAGGTTTTCTCCAAGTACTTCGGTTTCCCCTTCCAATCTTCATTCCACCAATTGCTCCACAATCACCCTCACCTATCATCTGGGGCTGGTACAATAGGTCAGAAGTGGTCTCAGTACAAGGGACTTAGTCCCACCCCACTAGCAATAAAAAAGAAATAAAAACTCAAATGATGCGCAGTTTATCTCTCTGAACTAGTTTAATTTATTTGTTTAACTTTTTGTTGTTATTTTCACCAAACCTGCACATTGGGTGTGTCGGAAATTATATTTAACAACATCTGCATAGGGATGTTTATGTGAAGGAAAATTTTATATAAAAACTTAACTGTGCTGTTGGTCTATAGATAATCATCAAATACTCGTATAAGTTTAACGTCTCCGAGTATTAAGACAGGAGTTATTAAAAGGGAACTAGATATCATTATTTCTTCCGGATAGTTCTTGTTCGCCTGATGTTTTGTTCTGTATCTCATAATCACACCCGAGCCTATTAAACGTAGGCCTTTGTCAGGTTTTTGTCCTATTAAAATAATTATCTTCGAGTTCTTAATATTTCAGCTAATTTTCTGTGCTACGCGAACGAACAATGAAAACAAAGACACAAACAAACCGGACGGTCTTGCATCACTCGATCAGATTTCGTGTAGTGAATGTTGTGGGGACTGGATGGCGGGAGTATCGGGGTCGATTTCCGGCGGGGGCAACAACAATACATCTGAAGATTACCGTCTTTTAGGTTGTATCGAAATGTAGTCTGGTAGGTATATACCGCCGTATCGGAGAAACGTGCTGCCTCCATCTTCACAAAAAATGGAGGCAGCACGTTTCCCCGTAAGGTAAATGGACATCAGTCATGCTCAGTCGGTTCTTTGGAGGCTGTGAGGGGCCTTGTTATCTGTACTTTGCTCACCGCGTTCATAGGCAGGCTCTTTAATGAGATCACGCGAGTGAGGTATCAGTTGTATGATGTCAGATGTGGTACCAGGTTCCAGTTTTTCCATTTGGAGCGTTGTTGCGCCAAGTTGTGTTTGTATTATTCGCGAGAGTTAGTGCCGAATCTGGCATCAGGTACGCGTTGTTTAAACGCTTTTGGGATAAGCTCTCTCCTCGGATTACCGCCACTGTTTGTTTGTCTATAGTTAAAATGTAACAATTTAGATATTTCGCTTCACAGACTTATCTCCCTGAGTCCACTGTCGGTATTGGTTTCCTAGCTCCTCCATTTCAACTCAGTTTTACTGTGAGATTTAAATGCTAATCTTGATTGAAGTTTTTGCCTTTAGACTCCTGCTTCGTTCTGTTTCTTACTTGTACTGATATTATATTGCTTCGGTAGTGTTATCTTTATTGTAGTTGAAAACAACCGAAACAAAATTCGTAAAAATAGAAGCAATGTCAGATATAACGAATACACGGTCAAGTAAACAATCCCTGTGGGGAAATTATCTTGATGTGGCTATCAGATGAATGATAATGGCCGACGTAAATTTACTGTTAAGTGTTGATTATATTTGGGTTAACCTTGGATAACGTTTATTTATATGTTGACCTACACAGACGCGAAGCCAGACGAGTTTTCGGTGGGAAGGGGGTGGAGAGATAAGGCGGATGATTTAAGAGTTATAGAGACGTTCAGAGATGGTAATTAAGGGTTTACAAGTCTATAGCTTGTAATGTAACTGTCAAAGAAGGGCCGTATAATCTAATATATATAAGCACCGATGATATAAAACAGTAAAGCGATGCCTCTGACGATGATGATTCAACATATATATATATATATTATACGGGCATAAAACTGCAATATGTAGTTACAACACTTTTAAGTGACTGGCTGAGAACATTTATAATATACATGAAGAGGAAAAACACTCCCAGTAAAGCACTCGTGCTCGCTACTGGTGAAGTCTTTCAAATTGCAGTAAATCAAACTCTTTGGTGTTAGAGGTTTTATTATGATTAAAAGCCTTTTCTCCTTTTTAACGGGCGTAAAACCTCAGTTGATTATGGCTACACGAGTTATCTGGTGCCCCTCACACCCAACCGGTTGCAGGAAATTTTATAGGCATAATATAAGTCTTAAAGACTTGCCAGTAGAGTTGCCCTTTTAACAGTAGTAAACACTGATGAGGCTGTCTTGTTAAATAGAAAGACAAACGGTGAGGAGTGGAGAGGAATGTTCTTATAAGAGAACGTTGAAAATAATATAACGCGCTAAATGTTTGAACTATTTCTGTGAACAGAGGCCTGGTACAGTTTAAGTGTGTGGTTGTAAACGTCACTCATAGTAACGATATCCTATGTAGGTTATATGCTTCAGGCTGCTGCTTTCAAAGATCCGACAAGACATGCTTTTAAATTCTACACCCAGTGGTTTGTATTTGTATATAGACGCGTGTGATGAGGATATCAGGTGGCTTTCTTGTGGCTGTGTATGTGCCAACATTATACGGCGGATTTCAAGGTGGGTTGGAGGGAAAAGAGTGGAGGATTGTAAAGTTGAGTTTTAGTGGCACTTGAGTAGAACCGTAAAAGTCAAGAGAAAACGGACCCCCGGTTGTCGTTTGCTGCTATAAGCGGGAGATGCTAAAGGGAGTTTCCAGGCTGGCAGTATCCTGTGCGCCGGGGGGGTCGGTCGCCTCTTTTCAACAAGCGGCAAGTGGCTACTGAGTTTATATCTCCAGATTATGTAGGAACGAGGTACTAAAGCGACCAGATTTTGATGGCCGGCACCACACAGCTTACTTGTATTGACTTGTTGACATTTCTGATGACCAGATAAGAGAAGGGGGTCCTCATACCTTGACAGGACATAACAGTCTCCGTGGGTCATATTTTATTTGTGAAGATAGAAAGAAAATTTTTACCTGACATATTCAGTTCTACTGTTTATCATATTGTCGTCATTTCAATTTACATCTTGAGATCATCATTAAGTTGAGCGTCAGGTATAATGAAGAGTATCACAGAATTGTTTGTATGTGGAAGTCCCTGGAATGTGACCGATGGTACGACCCTGTGTTGAAGCAGACGAACAGCTGAGTTTGAATGCTTTTCTTATTTCACCTTGACGAAATTTGTATTGCTGCCTTCTTGTTCATACGAATTTTCACACTTCTATAAGATTTGTTTATCTCCGTGCACAGTAATTGTAATTTGTTATTGTAACTAATCCCATGAAGAAGACCGCTTCAGAATATAAGTCTTTAAGCTAGTGAAGGCGGTTTTCCATCGTTATGAATCCCGAGGATTGTTCTCAAAATAGCGCTACTACGTCCTGTCATGAGCCACTTGAATCCAGGCTACACTCTCACACAATACTTTCCTGTGATCCATTTTATCATTAATCGCCCAATCTAGCTCATTCGCCCCAAATGGTTTCTTTCCTTCAGGAAGAGATACAATTTGGGAAAGCCGTTGTGCGACTGCCCCAAATTGTATCTTTTCCTAAATGACACACAACTGGATGCATACCAAATAGTTCTTTCTTTCAGGTTTTCTGACTGAAATTCTGCATGCATTTCTTACTTTCACATTGCTTGTCCTGAAATGCTATCATTCTCCTTTCTTCCTTTAGGATGAGCTATCTGTTTTCACACGCATACATAACGACAGAGAGAACCATAATTTTGTATCTTACATGCCTGTTTTAATAATTTCATATTCTGCGTGTTGTTTAATTAATTAAAGAATGTAATTGAATTGTTTCAGAAATTTCCTGCAGCATAAAATTCAAATGCAGTTCCTGTACTCAGCGGCATTCCTAAAAAAGACTGGATCGTGATTGTATGAGGACGAAAGTATTTGCTAATTAAAGTTCTTGTATCCTTCGAATCCGTTGAACACAACTGGATTATAGTACAGGTCTTCGTAATCATCTTATGGTTCTCAGGTTGCAGACACCAAACATCTTCTTTGAGTAGGTAAGGAAAGTCCCAAGTTGATACCTCGGCACGGAGACGAGCTATTGTTATAGGGATTTTTGTCATTTATATTGGTCACTCGAGGCAAGCACAATGGATCGTACCTCACATTATGTCATGACCGCTTGCTTTCACTTCTTGCAAATTTATTTTTCACTAATCATTATACCCATTAAATGTCTTCGCCCACTCGAATACTGGGATCGTGGGTTCAAATCCCACTCAAGGCATGGATGTCTGCGTTTATTCTGTGTTTGTGTTGTGTAGCAGTCTTGCGACGGGCTCATCCCCAACTCAGGATTCTACCGACATCCTTAGATAAAGAAATTGAAGTGGAACGAAGCGTTTCACTGATGTCCTGTTTTCCAAATGGGAGCAACAGGAATGGAAGAAGAAGAAGAAGAAGAAGAATCGTCCTACCATTCAACACTGTGGATGTTATAAGCCTCCAGATTGAGATATAGACCACGTCATGAAATAGACCACAAACAGTGAAAGAGCTTAATGAGTAGACCCTAAACACAAACATTAATGTCTTCAGAGAAGAAACCTCAGGCATCCCAAGTGTTGACGTATTGTATTATCATGCAACATACTTGTAAATTCAGTGTAGGAGCCTTCATGTTATTTTGCTATCCAAGAGAGTGACTGTGGAGCTGAGCAGTGCAGGCGAGCCGTTCAGCAAGTGTTCCAAAATCTCACAAGAAAACTGTGATCACGGAGACATATAAACGTGTAACACAGAAACACATTTCAGTTCAGTGTTCTTTTTTTAAATTGTCCAGGGTCTGGTAATGTATTTTTTTAAGGGAAAGTGACGGAGAATGCCGAAGTTTAAATAAGTGAATACTATTAAAATTAATCTTAAAATAATTTTTTAGAGTGAACTGGAATCGTGTAGCTCAAAGTAGGCACTAATTGCGGGATCCTGTGTAAGCGGGAAAGTACTTCCGGTTCCGTAAACGGCAGAAATATATTGACTGTCTCCTTAACTGTAGTTTCTAGCACATTTACTTGACTGTGGATGTTTAACTGTTGGGTATTCGGAGCTTCTGAATTATTGAATGCTGTTCTTCATGCAAATTGCGCTGAAGGTAAAGTAAAGTTGTCCATGTGTTTAATTAATTAAGTACTATACCATGAAGACGTATGGGGGAGTGGAGATATAGATAAACTTTCATGACCTCGGCACTAGATGGAGATGAGTGCTCATCTTCACGCTCCTGCCGCTTTACCACCAAAGAATAGACCCAGCAAACTGCAGTATCCCACAAAGATTAATTGTTGTTCGCCTTGGTAAGCATACTTCAGCATTCAAAAGATGGGTTTTCTCAGGGCACTAAGAAGCGTCAGCCTTTGGCCGATAGATCTGATAGGTACATAATTCTTCTAGTCCTATTCCTTATTTATTTCTGCCATAGGTAGATTTCATGCAAGTGTTGGTTCGTGTGGTAAACGTTCTGAAGTCTACACAGTGTTAAGTAAAAAAGAGAGAAGAAATTAATATACTGTGTAAAATTAATTTATTTCCTATTTCAGTGCCTGAAACATGCCCACTTGGATTTGGACGTCACTTGTTTCGTTGCACCTAGGCCTATTTCTAGCAATGGAATTCACATGAATATTGTTCCAACTAAATAAATGGAGAATTTTATTCGACTTATATGTAATTACTATGTATTAGAAATGTTTGTTATCAGTGGCTTTCTACTGAAATACTAGTGTTGTTAACTGTTTGCTCAGGCCAAAGAAGAAAAATCTTGAATATAGGACTAACCGTGAATAAGTGAGCTACATAGACATCGAGTCATAAATTCCATTTAAAAAAAAGACTCCCTTACTCTGCAACCAGCCGCAGTCGTGGTCAGAGATGATAAAGTCTCCAAACTTAGACAGAGTCTGGTCAGGTTGTTGCACACGCGAAGGAGAAATGACAGGGGAGTATAAAGCAATGACGGAATGAAAACCCAAGAAACTAGAAGAAAATATGCAGTGACACTTTATGTACCACAGATCTCACATAAATCAAATTCAATTAATTGCATTATATTAAGCTATTCAAATGTTTTTCATTGTGGGTTACACTTGAGTAGTTTTATAAAAGCTAGAAAAAATAAGAGAGGCGTATGTTTACATCACCTTTCATTGATCCGCACCCTTCATCGCGTGAGGATCAAAGAAGAGGAAACAAAATGAAGCCTAATTAAACCAACGCAACTTTTATTTAATAAGCAGGCTTGCTGTTTGATTACGTGTAATCCAGAGAATTCTCAATTAGGTGCAAGAATCAGGCAAGTTTAAATAAAAGTATTCCAGTAGGCCTAATGGGAATTAGAAAACTTGTATATAAATTAATATCAATTTTGTTTTCAGACGTAAGTCACACCTTTGAACATTTGATTGAAGTGTTGCATAAATATATATTAAAAACACTTGAGAAAATAATTATTTTCGTGGTATTAGTTTCTGTTACAGCTCATAGCTGGCGCTGTATGCAGCGTTCCAGTGTGCTCCGTTCCCGCGGTCCGTTGAAACTAACTTGAAAGCCGAGGGACGAAGGGGGAAGTTAGGAGTAACAGGGAGGGAAATGAAATAGGTTATTAAGGGAGCTAAATGCTCCTGTATATATTTCATAATATAGATATGCTCAAAGCGTGCTTTATATCTATACTATTGCATATCATCTAACTAGATTACAGTTACTGCTACATGCATTGAAGAGATACAGATTTGTGAGAACTATTTCTCGTCGGCGGATGAAGAACCCATTGAAGAGGGGGAAGTATTTTGGGCTCCGTGACGAATTTGATTCTGATTGGTCCATTTCGTTTACCCCTCTTTTCCTCCCAGATCCCTTTGTAATGTCACTCATCCTCGTGCTCCCAGTCTTTTATCCTCCTCTTTCACATGTTCGTCTTTTTCGTCACTTCCCCTCTTATTTTTTATCATCATGCCGCTGTTTTCGCCTCCTTCCTGATATGTCCTTGAATACTTAAATATGTTATTTTCATATCTCTTTACCGTACATATCTCACGCTTTATTTGCTGCATTTGCCATTCGAATACTATTCAACCATCGATTAGTTAACTAGAAGAGTCAAGTTGTTATCATTACCTATTAATTTTTCCTTATCCTCTTGGTTTTGTCGTTTTTGTTTACTTATGTAAAAGAGAGCATAAGCTACATGAGGGAAATAAACTTTCTTTTTATTCGTTTTCGTGGTTCGTTTCTGGCATAGGTCTGTAATGGAGTGCCACACTAACGAGCGGGACGTGGTTTTACTCACGTGTGATGTACGCATATGAATGTGTGGAGTGTGCACTGCATTGCATCTCTGTCTCTCTCTCGCGCTCGGATAGGACGTCAACGGATTGGGAGGAGGCGGTGGAAGAGGACGGTACTGGAACGAGCAGTAGACAGAAACCTCGGCTAGCCAGACCGGCGTATAGGCGGGCTGCATGTCAGATGGTAGTGGTGGCGGGACGACGGTGTAGTTTGATACATAACATACCGAACCAGTGCGTGTTTGACCACGGTGTTCGCAGGAAGCAAAGTGCTCCTATCCACTTGTTGGTTGATCCAGATAGCTTTTCCAGTAATTCTTCTCTCGTTACTGATCGTAACTGTTTACGATCTTTTTACTTATTATTGTTGTTATTATTGGTAAATTGCCTCGAATTTATAAATTACCAATATCTGCTTATCAGTTACACTGTATGGAATAAATGTAATTTTACAAGCATTTAACAATTCGGAATTTAAACACGTCGGTAAATTTTTTACTTATATCTAGTATTAAATCTGTATTTCAGCAGATTATTAAATCAAATTCGAATTAAACACTCCTGAAGGGCTCATTCTGAATTTGCGTGTGGTGTTTGACAGTTTTAACTGATTTTTTCGGGTTCTCTATCGTTTCATTTAAATTGGTTTCCTCATTAATTGTTAACAACTTACATTTCCATGGTACAGTAGAATGTACCACGTGTGAGCTTTTCGTTCTCGTTATGTTTGACGTAACTGAGAAGTGCACTAGTGAGACGGCTGGTTTGCTAGCGACAAGTGGCTGAAGAGAAGACTGACTGCTCTTTTCGTGTTGTGTTTCGAGATCGTCAAATAAGTCTATGCGCTGTAGTCAACTTGGGTCTGTGTTGAGATGACTTAACATTTTTCGAGGCTGACGCAAAGTGACTTACGTTCAAGTACAGTCCGATCAGATGACGATAAATGGCACATTTGTCGTGAATAATTATATGGATTTTGTGTTGAACACTGTAGGTGTTGGTTCTTGAAACGCGTGTGACTGTTGAAGTGTGTTTAGGAATAATAACAGTTTTGGGGGCGTTTGTCTCGTCCCCCAAAAGGAAATAACTGGAAGGAGACCAAGTGTGAGAAATTTGTCGAAAAATATCTCTTGAGGAAGGAATCTGTCCACTATGAACTCATACTTTGAGCAGAGTGGGTTTTACGGGAGTCATCACCATCAAGCCGCTGGTTCTGCAACGGCCCCCGGTCATCACCATGACCAGACGGCGGCGGCAGCGGCGGCTTACCGCTTTCCCCTGGGCCTGGGCATGTCTCCATACGCCTCTTCCCAGCACCACCATCACCATTCTCTTCACCAAGCAAGACCACCTCAGGACTCTCCGTACGATGCATCAGTGGCTGCAGCAGCCTGCAAGCTCTATTCTTCAGCAGCTGACTCTGTCAGTCAGCAGTCGAACACAGGAGTTGCCAACTACAGTACAAGCACCACAAAGCCAGACTGTTCAAAGAGTGGTACAACGCCTAACGAGCAGAACCACCAGAATGGCTATGCAGCTGTCGTTGCAGCGGCTGCGAAAGATGTTTGGCAAAGCGCTGCGAACGCTGGCGGCGCAAATAATGCCGGCACCAACAGTCTTGTGGGACCCGTGGTGAGACCTGCGGCATGTACACCAGACACACGTGTAGGAGGGTATGGTTCATCTGTTGGACTTGTTGGTGGCGATCCGGCGTCGAGTCCCGGTGCAGGTGGAGGCAGGGCATCGGCTTGGTCTCTAGGATCTACAAATGCATGTTCTTTGAACAGTTCGGCCGCTCAACCCTCAGTAGCAACTCAACTACACCAACAACCCTCCAACCACACATTCTACCCATGGATGGCTATAGCAGGTCAGTCAGTCAGTTCAACCCCTTCAGTTTATACCACGTGGCTATTTCTCCGCGTAATATCTCTCTAGAAATAAGGAGGGAAGCTCTGTGGAAATGCAGCTTCGGGGTCATAAGGGGATGATGATTATAGAGACACTGCTTACGTTAATGAATAGTCATCGCTCTTAACGAGTGTAATAGTGCACCAGTTTTGTTGCACATAGTATGCGCCCATGATTCTGTAGTCACCACATTCCAGAAGCACGGATTAACTAAAACTTCAGTATCTGTTTAGAGGACTATTTAGAAATAGGAACCCTGAGTGTACCAACTTCTGGCAACAGCGAGAGAGTAGCGTTTCCATCCATAGTTATTTTCAGTGACACACACACAGACAAATTGGTATCAGGCCCTTCGTTTATTTCTTATATTAAAGGAATGGAGGTTGGAAGCATCAGCTGCAGTGTAGGAAGAAAAATATATATGAACATTCGTTTGACTGGCCAAATGAGACCTCTTTCTGTTAATTAATTTATTACTTCCTGTCAAGTGCCGTTTAAGTTAGGATAATATTGAGAAGGAATATTCTGAGTATATGCCAGCTAGCTTCTATTGCACAATTGTCAACATATTCTCATAGACGAATTTCAGTCCGCAAGAGATCACAGTCAGATGGTGGCCGAAAGGCCGCAACATATACTGGGTAATTAGACATATGGTATATCTGTACATTAATTGTGTAGACTGAAAAAAAATCTGCTAACTATATACGTTAACCACCGTAAGAAGTCTCAGAATTATTTTTACAATTGTTCTTTCTCAATGAATTATACATTATGAATATCTCATCAGCGCGGCAGAGTATGATAAAAAATTGTGAGATTGGTAAAGGAGTAATGGAAGCTTTCTGTGAGTAACCGGTAATGTTGAAGATCTTAATTCTATTATAGTACGTGAAATGTTGTTTTCCCTATGTGTAAGTCTGTTGGGGAAATTTAGTTCGTATCATGTTTGTGTTATTTGCCTTTGGAACGTAGGGCCTAACTACAATAATATTTATGTGCTAGGCCTATGATACTAAATTTAGGTGTTTATATTTCGTCACGTGACTGGTGCTCATATAATAATAAACGTGGGCATTTGTTGCATTTTCAAATGTTCACGTGCTCTGTACCAGTCAGGCGCGCTTTAGTTTGAAGACGCAATGCCCACAAGCACCTCGCCTCCACTCTCTGTCTTCCTCTCTCCTCTTTTATCTGTTTCATCCTTTTACACCTTTTATGGATAAGTAAGGTGCCAAGTACAATAAGTAACATTCTCGTATATTCATTCCTTGAGCAAGAACCACCGTATAAGGCCTAGTATCTTATCTAGTTCTGTTTTTCCCCGAGATTATCAGTTGTATAGTTAAGACGATAGCTACAGGCAGCGCCACCAGTACTGCGGAAGTACGCACAATATAAGCGTTAATTTCCAGTTGTGATCCTTCAATGAAAATGAAAATATTCATTACATATATTGGAATAGAAATCCACGCAATCACAGAATAAACTGTTGCGCTTAGTTTGGCCCTGAAAGAACGTATCCGATCAAAATGGGCTGTTCTATGGCCATGAATTTTGTACGAAAGAAACAGCAGTGAGATTTTTGTCATTATATTATGCCTACTGAATTTGTTTGTGTAAATTTAAAACTTGGTGCTTATAAAGAGTTCAGGAACAGTGGTAATTTAAACACTGTGCAGAATTTACGTTAACTTACAAGTCATTTCGGCAGCACGACTTATTAAACAACTTATCCTTCTGGTTAAAATTTTTAATATTATTCTAGTTGTCTTTGTTGTAACAATTCTGAGTGGCTTGAATGAGCTTATTAGGTACAGTCGTAATTTATCTCTCCAATTAAACTGTGGTATCATTATACGTATATAGGCTTCATTCGGGTGTAGAGCCTATAGCTCTGTGTCGTTAATAAAGAAACCGTCTGCTCCAAAAATAAAAGCGCTACACCAAGTTGTTACCTGTGTATTCATATATGAATGATTCAGTAGCGTGCTGAGTGGAAACTTTAGTTTTAATGCAACAGCTCTATGTCATCTTAATTAAATTTTGTCATTTTAAACCCATTTTTTTAACGAAGTTTACCTCTATAAGAGTAAACCTTTTTTATGCATGTCTTAAATTTTAAACAAATCATACATATGACACGTGAAATTTTGTATTACAATAATTTATTTTCACTGTTTATTTTCATATAGAAAGGACTGGTGAATATAAACTCTTAACAGTGTTTGTTCAGACCACTGCAGTGCAGTATTATGCAAAGACAGATATGCATGCAACATCCAAACAAGTGATTAAATTCGAGAAACTTGTTCCATGTGAAAAGCCGAATGTTTAACCAAAATACAAGTTAAGTAATCCATAATCTTGTATGGCCCGTTGTTAACTACAAAACAATATTGTAGTTTTATTTATGGATCTAATTCAGATATCAGTTGTCATGAATACGCAGCGGTCTCGGGTTGAATGGAAAAGAAGTAAGCCTCTTTCCCACAGAAGTCCCCTTGTGACGCACGCTGCTCCTGCTGCCACTACCTGTTTGATAACAGAGTGTAGGAGTATTTTAAATTACAGTGGGAACATGTTTGGTATTGAAAGGATGCAAGGACATAGTTAATTCAGCAGATCCCTTTCGCTTACCAAGCCAGGGGTCAACACAGCAACCAGTGCCTCGCGTTCTGTCCTCTTCTCCTTCATTCATTATCTATCTTTCTCTTACACACAACAAACTTTGACATTCCTTCCTCCTCTTCAACATCAGCTGTTTGCCCTTTATTACAGAACCCGTAATAATGCCCAGGCGAAACTAAACCGCCAGTAGGCTAACAACCCTGCCGCTCTCAGTCTCGCTTGCACCCGCCCGGATCTAGGAACCTATCTTTCAGACCATGATGCAATTGGAATGGCCATTACACGAAATACATTACAATGCCCGCCGACCCTACACACATAATTAACGAAAAACAGGTTCTTTACCGGTTTTCCCTCTGTTTTTGTTTTAGTTCTGTTTCCTCCCTGGCGTTTGCATTCTTCTTCTCCTGCGTTACAGTTTTTATACAGATTTATTTTTCTGTTTTTATCTTGCAAATATATTTTAGAAGTGCGTATTTGCCCTGGCTTCCCACTTTTTATTCATGGACTGTTTCCTCCTTTGCTCCATATATTTTTCGGTACGTTTACGAAATGAGCAAAACGATTTTTGAAAAGTTATTGTGGTAAAATTGAGAGAAGCAGGTCAGCAGTAGAGTATAGCACAGAATTTGGGTGGCGTCTGGTTTTAATTTCTGCATCATGCAACTGAAGCTTTCTCTGGACTTCCAGGGCTGTAGCACTTCGAGCGGAGCCTCTTGCCATTTCTGTTTTCATCTTCGTGTCATTGGCATCATCCGGCATTTCCAAATCCTTGCGCAGTTTGCTCGTCCACTTGCCCCAGTAACAGTCGACATTTGAACTTCGGTAACCACTGTGTTCTTACCAAACAGGGGTCACGTAAGTTTTGAGGTTTTCACGGCGATGACAATGAAGAAAGTCGTCTTCTGGGTTTTGGCGCCGCGTATTCTTCGTTTTGGCTGACGTTTCGGAGGAACGTATCGCCTCCATCTTCAGAGCAGGTGAATGGCTTGTGAATGCAGAACGCAGTAGCTGTAATGATTAGGAAGTGAAAGTGATATTAATACGTATTACACTTTGGGGCACGTGGTAGCGTAGTTCTTTGAGGAACTATGATACAAGCCGGAAGGTCGCGGGTTCGATTCCCGATGAGGTAATCCTGCCAGCCGCACTATGGCCCTGGTGTCGACTCAGCCTCTAACAGGAATGAGTACCAGGAATCGTCCTGGGGATGAAAGGTGGCCGCGGCATAAGGCTGACAATCTCACCGCCATCTTTGAGCAGATTGTCTACAGAAAATGTGGGAGCCTCGACGTCTCACAAATCTATGGGCCGTCACGGCCTGTTACAGGGATAGCTTTACCTTTTACATATTCCATTTTCGGCTGAGGCTCAGAGCACTTGTTACGTGGAGATGAAGTAAAAATGCATTGCAGTCTCTTAATGTCTGAGACCGGAAATCTGATACCAGCAGGTTCTGAAAGTGAAGGGCTGTAGTAAATCCAAATGAACTCTCCGTATTAGTAATTTCCCGCCCCCTTGGCACTAGAGCCCCAGTGGGTCTAAGCCTACCTCCATGAACTTCTCCGTTCACTTCGGTTTTTCTAGATCTTACACATACGGTAGGACTCCTTGGGCGGGTGATCAGCTTATCACAAGGCCTCTACCTGTACACAAACAGAAAAACGCACACAGACACACACACAAACTAAACATCCATGCCCTGAGTGGGATTCGAACCCACGATTCCAGTTTCCAAGCGAGCGAAGACAGTATATGCCTTAGACCGCTTGGCTACCGTGACCGGTCCGTATTAGTAATACCTCATTATAACACAGTCTCCCCAATAACGAGTGCAATCGTAAGTTATCCAGACAGTGATTATAACTGTGAATTAAGATAGTCACGTCACGTACGAAACTTTCGCTGGACACGTTCAAGTTTGTTGATATCAGTGATGGTAAGAGAATTCTAGGCAAACATAAGCATACTCTAGTTCCGTTCTTGCCACACTCGTGGGAAGTAACAAAAAAGAACTAACGAAGAAGAGAGGAAAGTAATAGTCTGTATTAAGCTGAACAAGCTTATTGCAGGAGAAAGTAAATAATCAGCACGCTGATAACAGTTCAGTCTAGAGTCAAGAAAAACTCCAAAAATACATTTGATTTGGTTCACCCTGGTCCGTCACACTAGCAGTATTATAGAAGGCTAATGAACTCCGACCAATGTGGCTGATAAAATGTATTTTATTTTTTCCCTTTTTTATCTGTTATCCTTAACATGTTTCAGTCTTAGAGACCATCTTCAGATAGATATATCAGTACGGGCAGAAGCTATTATTACAATGTG